TATAAAGTTTCTAGTTATAAAGACCTGAAAAAAAGATGGCAGAGTAGAAATACAAGACAGAAAGCTCCTCACACACACACACCAAGCAAGCAACTACAGCAAATACAACTAACCCTGAAAATGACCTGAAGACTGCAGAACAGACCATCTACACCTTGTGAAGAAGACCACACAGAAAAAGGTAAATTGACAGAGCTGTGATCAATTGGGACTAATTTGGGACTAAGTCCTTCCCCATCACAGCCCACAAGTGGGAGGAAGAGGAGTGGAGCTGGGAGGGGATAAGCTCTCAAACTCTGCACTTGGACCTGGAGATCTGGTCTGGGAACACAAGTCCACATTGCACTGGGCTCTGTTGATTAGTGGGGCTGGATACCAGGGAGAGTTGGAGCATTCTGGAACGCTGTGACTCCTGCCACTTGTGGAGGGCAGGCATACTCCAATGGTCTTGCTGAGAGCCAACATAGAGGCAGCAGTTTGAAAGATTTAACAGCAATGGAAAAGGTTCCAGAGAAGTGAGGGTTGGACAGACTCTCTGCAGGAGAAAGGGCAGGTAGGCACTTCCACAGCTTTCCCTCAACCCAACAGGTCAGACGCTCAGCAGGAGCCTCAAACATTTTATTTAGCCCCCCTCACTAGTAGCCTAGCCCCAAAGTGCTTCCCTGCACACCCTCCTGCCTGCCCAGCCTGTTCAGCCCAGCATTGTCAGACTTTGCTGCCTGGAAGGCAGAGAGAGAGCTTTTCCAGCTTTATTGTTCCACTTCAGCCCAACTGGGAAGGCTCCTGTGGGAGTCAGCTTTGAGATCTCTATCCTCCTCAAGGGTGGCCCTGACCAGTGATGCATGCCTGTGCACCCTGGTGCAGTGTGACTGCCCCAGCGCTGCATGACTGTCCCAGACCCCCATTTATTTCAGAATCACTGCCATTGCTGCAGGGCAAGCAGAGGTTGGCCATGCCCACAATGATCCCAGAAGTGTACTTCTGTGCTCACAAAGGGATTACTGAGATGAATTGCCATCCATTGCAGACTAAGATAGACCACTGCCACCAGATAGACAGAAAGGGGGCCCCACCCACAGCCCACTGACAGCAACTGGGGCCCCACTGCAATGGAGAAACAGGCACTGGAGAGTTAAGAGTGGGCTTCTGAGCACCACAGGGTGCCTTCTTCAAAAAGCCATTACTCCCTAGATCAGGAGGCATAGCAAATATATTCAAGACAAAAGAAGAAACACAGAAACTCTGACAAAATGAGGAGGCAGAGGAATATCTTCTAAACAAAACTATAGGGTAAGACATCAGAGAGAGGACTAAATGAAATGGAGATCACCAATTTTCTTGATAAAGATTTCAAAGTAAAAGTCATAAATATGCTCACTGATCAGTGGAAAAATATTGATGAACTTGGAGGATTTCAATAAAGGGATAGAAGAGCTGAAAAAGCCATGCAGAGCTGAAAAATACAGCAACTGAAATTTAATATACAGTGGAGTGAATGAATAATAGATCACTGCAAGTACAGGAGACGATCAAAGACATGGAAATTGGAGAACAGAAATACAATGAAGCTGAGGAAGAGAGAGAAAAGGATCTCTAGGAATGAAAGAAGGATAAGAGAGCTGTGTGACCTATCCAAACAAAACAATATTCCCATAATGGGGCACAGAAGGAGATGAGAAAGACAAAGGGATAGAAAGTCTCTTTGGGGAAAATTTTAACAATTATTTCTTCAATCTGGGGAAGGAAATAGACACCCAGGTCCTGGAAGTACAGAGAGCCCCTAACAAAAGGAGCCCCAAGAAGACACACCAAGACATATAATAATTAAAATGACAAAGATTAAGGATAAGGAGAGAGTACTGAAAGCAGCCAGAGAGAGTACAATGATTACTTCTAAGGGAAGCCCCATCAGACGAGCAGCATTCTCAGCAGAAACTTTACAGGCCAGAAGGGAGTGGCATACCATATTTGATGTATTGAATCAGAAGGACCTTCAACCGAGTCTAGCCAGCAAGATTATCATTCAAAATTGAAGGAGAAAGTGAACATATCCAAGATAAATGAAGGCTAAAGGAATTTACTACCACTAAACTGGCAATACAGGATATGTTAACGGCACTTCTGTAGGTGGAAATATTCTTAATCCTAAATAGTTTTCACCAAGAGGAAAGGTAGTAGACTCATTACTTACCAAGCAAGTAGGAAAGTCAAACAAAACAAAACAAAACAAAAGTGGTAAAACCAACTATGCAAAAAAAAATCAATCAAGGGATACACAAAAATATGCAGATTTTAACATCTAATACACAAAGTGTGGAGGAGGAAGAGTAAAAAAGGAGTACTTTTAGATTGTGTTTGAAATAGAGCAATCACCACCTTAATATAGAATGTCACATACTTAGGAAACCATCCATGAACCTTATGGTAACCACAAACCTAAAGCCCATAATAGATACACAAAAAATTGAAAAAAGAGAAATCAAATCACAACACTAAAGAAAACTATCAAATAATAAGAAAAGAGTGTAAGACAGGAAGAAAGGAACACAGAGGAACTATAAAAACAACCAGAAACACAACTACTAAAATGGCAATAAGTACATACCTATCAATAATTAACTTAAATGTAAATGGATTGAATGCACCAATCAAAAGACATAGAGTGGCAGAATGGATAAAGAAACAAGACCCATGTATACACTGCCTAGAAGAGACTCATTTCAGACCCAAAGACACACAAAGACTGAAAGTAAATTCCTAGAGGTGGAATTACTGGGTTGAATGGTATTTCCAATTTTAGTTTATTGTTTCATGTCTCACATTTAGGTCTTTGATCCATTTTGAGTTTACTTTTGCATATTGAGTTGGACAGTAATCCAGTTTCATTCTCTCATGTAGCTGTCCAGTTTTTCCCAACACCAGCTATTGAAGACTGTGTTTTCCTTATTGTATATTCATGGCTCTTTATCATATATTAATTGACCAGATATGTGTGACCTTAACTCTGGGCTCTCTATTCTGATCCATTATGGGTCTGTTCTTGTGCAAGTACCATAGTGTTTTGATTCCCATAGCTTTGTAATGTAGCTTGAAGTCAGGGAGTGTAATATCCCCAGCTTTGTTCTTCTTTCTCAGGATTGATCTGGTTATTTGTGGTCCTCTGTGGTTCCATATGAATTTTAGAACTATTTCTTCTAGTTCATTGAAAACTGCTATTGGTATTTTGATAGGGATTGCATTGAACCTGTAAATTGCTTTGGGCAAGATGGCCATTTTGACAATATTAATTCTTCCTATCCATGAACATGGTGGGATAGATCTCCATTTATTTGTGTCTTCTTTAATTTCTCTCTGAGTGTCTTATAGTTATCAGAGTACAGGTCTTTCACCTTTTTGGTTAGGTTTAGTCCCAGGATAAAGAAGATGTGGTATATATACACAATGGAATATTGTTCAGACATAAAAAGGAAAGTAATCCTGCCATTGGTGACAACATGGATAGACCCCGAGTATATTATGCTAAGTGAATTAGCCATGTGGAGAAGACAAATACCATATGATTTAACTTTGTAGAATTTAAAAACAAAACAAAATAAATAAAACTGCACTAGACTCATAGACACTGAGAAGTGACTGGTTGTTACCATGGGGTAGGGGTTGGGGTAAGTGCATGAGGAGTGTGAGGGGGATAAAGTGGCACAAATTTTCAATAATGATGTAAGTTGATTATGGGATGGTAGTACTGCCTCGATGATATAATCAATGATTTTGTAACATCTTCCTATGTTTACAGATACTAACTGCACTAGTTGGGGTGGGTATTTAATAAATGGATAACTGTTGAACCACTGTGTTGTATACTTGAAACCAATATTAGATTGTATATCACCAATACTTAAAAGTTTGTAGTTATGCAGGAAGAGTAAGTTCTAGAGCTTTGCTGTATAACACAGAGCCTGCAGTGAAAAATATGGTGTTGTGCACCTCAAAATTTCATTGGGTAGATCTCATTAATTATCTCTACTGAAAACAAATACAAACACAAAAACAGAAACAAAGGGACATGAGGAAAGTTTGGGAGGTGTTGGATGATATCACCTTGATGGTGGTGATGGAATCATGTGTGTTGGTATATGTCCAAAGTCAGGGAACCACGTTAAATATATGCAGTTCTTTGTATATTCATTATACTTCAGCACAGCTGTAAAAAATCCCACAAAACCATACAATACCTCAACCAGGGGTTCTTGTGACTAAAATGAAGGTAAGGATGATGACAACTATTTGCTACATTTATCGCCCTCTGGGGCTCCCATGTGCTCCTGGCATGGCTCAGAGCCTCTGGCTGGCCTGAATAGGTGCTTAGAAGGTTATTGAGAGAATAAGTGAATGGTAGAGCTAACATGTGCACACTGATGATCATCTATCACCAAAGATGCCTGGCTTGTGAACTCTTAGAATTCAGGGGGGCTTTTTTTAGACAGGCCCATGTCAAAAATGAAGCAGGCACTTAACAAATGTCTGTTGGATTTAACCAATTTTACCTTGTTATGGGGACTTGACCTCTACTTCATGGTGTTGAACTAAATTAAACCATACTTTTCAAGATAGATATTCAAAATATCAACTTTAAAATAAGATAAAAAGCTCATATGTTATGTCATATTTATATGCCCCAAGGGATCTATTGATTAGAAAAAGAACAAACTAGCTTATTTTGTATGTCATTTAATAAAATTTAATTTTATTTAGGTAATTTTGTTGGTTATTATAGGCAACTGGAAAGACAAGAAAAAGCAGTTTTATGTGCTTTGGTGTGTGTGTGTTTCTTTATCAGACTAAGAGGAATCCACCCACTGATATATCCTAACAGCCATGCATCCCAGACTAGCTCTATTTGTTTTCCAGTGTGTGGATTGGCAGTTATATGAAGTGTCTGCTGTTGCTACAGGTAATCCAGGTGACAATACAAACATTGCCTTCCTTTTGACCAGCACAAACAGAAGCCAGGTTTACCCCTAGGCAGCATATGATCAATAGGCTCCCTGTGATGCCAGGCCCTCTGATCTGATTCTTTCAAACCCTAGCATTCTGGAAGCAACTGAGGACTTCCTACATATGTTCTGGAAATTACAGGTAAAATGTATGCTTTTTTCCCCCTTGCCATTTTTTGTAGGGAATGGGCAATTAAAAATTTAGGTTTTATTATTAGGCTTTTAAAAGGGAAGATACCTTTAGCTTTTATTTAAATGTGGAATATTGTTTAATGGTGTAGAAAATATGACAAAGATGGTGAAGAAAGGGAGGACCTGAGCTAAATAATTTCGAGTCTTGGTTGCTATGGGGAAGGTGAGATAACTTATTTTTCTTGTGGGGTGATGGGCTGAAATATTCTGGCTTTGAGAGGTTGTTTGGACAATTGCCTTCAGGTTCAAGAGCCTGTGGGCCATGCACAGGACTTGGGACTTGATCCTTAAAGTCCTGAGGGACCACTGGACAGTGTTGGGCGGAGGACAATTATGATCAGTTTGTTTTTAGAAATAAGGAGTGACATTTGTGAACTATGGAGGCAAGCAGGAGAGTGGCTACCAGTGGCTCCCAAGACTGGTCTGGATGGTATGGGGTGACCATTAGGATGAGAAGTCCCAGATCAAAGAACATGACAAGAATGTTCAGAGCACTGAGGTGGAGGGGGAGAGAGTAAGGGACTCGGTCCCCAAATGGGACAGTGAGTTTACTATGGCTCTGTGGTTTCTAACTTGAATGACATTAATTGCTCATATTCTTGTGATTGTAATTTTTCAAGCTGTTGGCAACATTCATGCTGCAAACACATTCCTGGTCTGTAGAATGGGTGAGCTGAGGGGAGAAGCTTTGGGGGCACCATGGCAAGAACGTGGGATGCGGAGTCTGAGATGTGGAAGCTGGGATGTGGAACCCAGCTCCCCCAAGGGCGTGCCTGTGGGCAAGTCCTCAGAGCTCCTCACACTCTGTAAACTAAAGTGCTACTGAAGGTTGGTTATTATTTTAGTTTGTTTTCTTACCAGTTCAAGCAGAAGTTAGTTTTCATTTTGATTAACTTACTAGCTGTGGTGACTGTGGCAGAGCCGAAAGGAGCATGGGGAATCCATGGAGTCCTCCAGGTCCTTTGAAGTCAGAGTAGGGCTTAAGGACAGTGGGCAGCAGCCCTCCTTACTCGCCCAGTGCCATGTCCACTGAGCACAATCTCCAAGGGAAAAGAGTGGTCCCCAGGTTTCTGCATGGAGGCAGTACTTAAACAGACACCTGCTTCAAGTTCGTGACTTACTTTACCCCTTCTGGTTTCCAAATCTGTAAACTGGAAGGCAAGGCATGTAAGACCACCACTTACAGGGCTTAGCACCTCGTGAGCACTCAATATATAAACTAATCTTATTTGTTCTGGGTCTGATATGCTGATATTATTCAAGCAGGGACCCACACGGCTGGTGGCACATTTGTGTCATCTCTGTGTGGGTGGCATTCAGTAACTTTCTGTGAGGCTAGAACTGGAGACTCCACATGGGGACGTAGGCACGTGGATGGCTCTTGCACTCTCCTCAGCTTTGGAGGCAGGGGAGAGGTGTGACACAGGAATTGGATGTGAGAGAGACCAATGCTGAGGGGCTGGGCACCCAGTGAGAAAGTGTGAGCAGTGGATGGGCCCTCTTACCTGAGACATGGATCCTTGGAAGAAGGTTCTGGCAGTCTGGTTCCACAGACTGAAAACTGAGTAAAGGAAATGCTTCCATAGCTAACACTTAATAAATTCCCAGTCTCCTTATTTCATTTGGTACATCAAACTTGATGGCATAATACTTTCATAAGAATATACTATGAAGTAACTTTCTTCCTTTTGGCCAACCACAATTTATGTATTTAAAGTTTTTAAGGTAGACTCTGAGTAAACTCAAGGCAATGTTAAATTACTTGCCATCAGAACCATAGCAATAAATGTTTAGTTTCTGTTTATAGTTACTTTAGTATCTTAGAATCATTTGATAGCAACATAACATAAAGCCAAACAGCACCCTTAGAAACTTGTAAACACAACAAAGACCTGGGCAGTACCACAGTAGAAGGATTCCTCCAATGCACAGAAGTGCTAGAGAAGTTTGGCAGGCATCACTTAATGGGTCAAACCATATAGAAAATGAACTGCAGGTGGTCAGTTTGTAACGAAATAAGTTGTGGTGTTTCAGATGATTAATGGCAGAGTGTGTAAACTCTGGCCATTGGTTTAAATATTTTATCCCAGGGTGACTTAGTTACAAAAGAATCTTTGTGACTATCAAATAGAAGAAAGATCAATAACAAGTATCATTGCTAGAATAGTCTATGGGTAAACCTCTGCTTTCTATGCATGATTGGTGAATGCCATATTCTAGTTGATTGCATTTTGTGATAACATAAATTAATACCATGATATCATAATATAACAACTCTGCTTAAATAATGGAGATATACTCAAATATAATGAAGATCATTTTGTTTTTCTTTAAGAAGCTATTTCAAAATTTTATAGCTTCTCAGGGACATTAATATAAATATCACAAAGATGTATGAGATTGGCTGTCAAATAAATGGATGATCCCTAACTTGTCTAGGGAAAGAGGAGATCCTAATAGTTAATATTAAGTAATTTAAAATGAATCTTCCTAAATAACTCAGCAGCTTTTCTATTACTCAAATAATTCAAAACTCAGAATTTCAAATTTCTTATCTTATGTTCATATGTGAAACTAGTGAATATGGGCATAGCATTTTTATGCCTATTAAGAAAATGAACACTGGCTGATAATTACTTTTTATTATAAACTGCATTATTTACAAATAAAGTCTCTTAACATTTCAGAAAAGGCATCCCTTCTCTGAAGAGGATATTGAAATGATAATATTTATCTATTATATAAATCAGTCTCTGGAATAAGTTAAATGAAAATCTTTTTAGTAATATCAGGGTTGGTGAAGCATTATTATTAATTTATAATTCTCATCTTAGGTTTCAGTATTAATTGATCAAAAAGCATTTTCATGGTAGATGCTGGATAGATGGCATCTTCTTCAACACAGAAGAGAAAAGTAGTTTTCCAAAGGTTTTTGAAGGTCCCTAAGAGAGTTCTGTGCAAAGAATGTGGGGCCAGGCAAGCGCCTTCTCCTGCAGACTTTGCCCTGATGGGTGGTGCAGGTGAGGGTCAATCAGGCAGGCCATACAGAGGCATCCTTCACGAAAGCCGCTGGTAGGCCCAAGTCCTACAACACTCATGGTACCCAGGCATAACTGTAGTCTCTTTCCCTTAAGTCTACACCCTATTATCTGCCCCTTAAGTCTTCAACACTCCGATAGGGAAGGAAATCAAATCTAAAGAAAGAGGAAAACATAATTAGTTTTCCCCTTAAGGCCCAGAACAGAAGAAGGGCCAGTGTTGGCGGCTTGCTCGGGCTTCTTCCTAAGGAGACTGGAGATTGGCAGCAGGCTGAGAGCAAGGAGGGCTCGGGCGTCTTGTCCTCCCAGTCATGCTGGAAAGCTGGGTTCCTGAGACGTGCTCACTTGCTGGGATGGGCGTCTCCAGGAGGGCAGCACAGGAGTGTCAGTGACCTCGCTGGGGTCTCCTTTTCCATGGAAATGATGCAGATAAAATACCTCCTTGTAGGGTTGTTTGATATTTAAGAACCCAGCATATTTTAAATGCCTTAGAAATGTTAGCTATTATTATTGAGGACACCCGAATCCTCACACGTTGACTCCAAAGCCTATGCATTTATCTAACATATGGAAATAGCAAGAGAGGACTAATCTATAAGCAGTATTTTGGCTATTTCATTAGAAATGTAAGTTTATCAAGTCTGTTTGTGTGACAGGCTTAGTGGTCCATGGCTTTTCCTCACAGAAATGACTCTCCTTAGAATGTTTCAGGGCAGGTCTCCTCTGGGTGGGGCTTGGCAGCATCTGTCCCTGTGCTGGTATTCCAGATGCCAGAACAGCAGGGCTGGTTTGTGGGGGGAACAGATACTGTTTCTGAGATGTACAGCGGTGGCCTTCAACCTCTGGTGGTCTGTCTTCTTTACTGTAGACTTTTCTACTAGAAGTTCTCCTGTTTGGTCAGCATGGGGCTGATGACACTAAGATGAATGCCACCATTGATAGGGGCCAGGTCACTGTCCTATTTTATGACAGAGGCATGGGCTCTGCAGCCCAAGCCTGGCCTGGGTTGAGACTGGAATTCCAACTTCATAGTACAAACATGAGGGTCCCCAGCCTCTCCCAGCTGCAGTATGCTTCTTGGTAACACAGGGAGGAACGAGGTAGTCCAGCTCAAGCGGTTGCTGTGAAATAAAGGAGAGCTCAGAGTTAGCCATACCCCCATCCCATGTCGCCCCCATGATCTCTTGGGGTCACAGTGTCAGCCCCACCTCCCTGACCACAAAACCAGGCTCAGAGCCTCAGCTAAACTCAGTGGCTTTCACTGAGTAAAAGGAGGGCCTGTGCTTCAGGCTGGAAGGAATACTGCAGCCACTTCTTCTCTGAACCTTAGCATTCTGTTTTTCCCTGGTTGCCAACACCGTCAGTTCTGAGCAGGCTGATTTTATCTGACTCAAGATTCAGCACAGCTGACCAATTAATTCCTGGTGATGGGAGGGCTGTGCATTTTCTAAGCCAGCCTCCCTGAGAATGGGAAGAGCTTCTTGAGAAGCCAGCAGAGCTTCAAGGGTGTTGCTTCCTCCATTGTGTGGGTGCTCATCTGCGGGAAAAGCAGGAAGGCGACATGGGAAATCTCCAGCTTCTCAGGAGGAGGGCGTTAACAGACACGATGGGATTTACATGTGGCAGAGAATTTCTGTAGAGCAAGAGCTCTTAGGTGTGCCTTGGAAAGAAAAGTGCTTACTGGGATCTGCTGAGGTCCTAGGAAGTCTGCAGTGTACAGGACAGGCCACTCATTGAGATGACCTGCGAGCAGCTGAAACCTTAGCCAGCCCAAAGGCTCTGTGCTGGGTCATTAGCTTCTAGGGACTCTATCTACCCAGACACCAGGGGTGCCTCATTCTTCCCTATAGGAGCATGATGAGAGAACATTCCCAAAATCCATCAGCAGAAGATATATGGTTAAGGGTTTGAG